TGATAGCAGGATTGGACATAGAATTTTTTACATAAGAATTTTTCGTAGCATGCAAATATGATTTACCTTTAGCTACATGAGTAGTTTTCTTCACAGGATTATTAACTAGAACATTGTTAGAGGCAGGATTTACATTGCTATTGGATTGAGTATTTTCCATTGGTTTTTTATACATATTGGATACAGGAAACTTAGGATACCCATGAAAATTCGTGGTGTGGCCTGTTTGATTACAGTTGCAACAGCGCACAGTTTCGAGACTTATTGCAAAGCAGTCTGCAGTTTTATGGGGCCCAGTGCATTTCATGTATCTGGGTCTTAGTTTGCAAGTATTGGATGAGTGATGGAAGTGCTAGCAGTTATGACAATGCACAACACTTCCATTTACAGTATACTTTTTGACAGTAACATAAAAATCCAAGAATTTTGTAATGTCATATGTTTTCTCGATCGTAAGGGTGTTCTCCACCTGAACTTGGAATAAGGGCATGAGGACCCCAGTTTTAATTCTATGCATACGTGCTACACGATGCACTTTGTATCCTAACATATTTAACTCCTCAGCAATGTCTTCAGTTGGGCAAGCCACGGAAAACTAATAGGTTTATCAATTTTTGCTAATATCACTTAGTGGTCAATATTCTTCAAATCTAAGTGATGGGTAATATTTCTGTGATCTTCCTCAGTGCTGGGAAAGTTCTTGAGGAAGTCCCCATTGACCTTACTCGCAAATTCACAATTAACCTCCTTTCTTAAAATTTTCATGAAATCACTGAATTTAATATCAGGTTTGACCATAATGGGTCGAATTTTTGGTTTAACTGCAATGGTAAAATTTTCAGAATCATGTTGAATGTCCATAGAATCATTTACAATTTGTATGTCATTATCAAATACATTAATAGAAAGTTTGAATTCATTGGTAAGAGGTGCATCTACATTACACTTCACTATTTTACTTGGCCGAGCAGTCTTTGTGGGGAGAATAAACCCCTCATTATCCTGAGCTTCATTAAGAACACGCTTTGAAGCTCGTCTAGGTTTTGGTTTACTTACATCATTTACATTAGGAATAAACACATTTACATCACTAGTATCATTAGTAGACATAGAACAATCAGCATTTATATTATTAGTATCATTAGGAATTTGACTCGTATGTTTCATAACAACTATTTCGTGATGAGATAATTTTGCATAAGAAAAAGTCAGAGTTTAAAAAGAATCGCACTTACCTTTAGAGATGTTGAATAGTCCTTCACCAAAAGCTCTGTGTTTTTTGAAATCCATTTGTAGAGGTTTCGTAGCTTGGTCATCACATAATATTTTAGAATAATCAATCAGAACCTATCCACACTGCGTTTAGTAGTTCATGAGTAGCATAGCGTCAATAAAGTCCTTTTCCAAATAGGCATCTTTGGCAATGAGCTCTTGCCAATTATCATTCAGTCTAGAATTTCCATACTTGATAAGATCATCCGTAAGCGTAATCATATTGTTCCGAGCAGCATTTGTCTTATTTCCAGAATCACAATTTAATGGGGGATTTTCTTTTCCTGTCATGTCGATAACACAGTAGTATCAAGAAAAATCACAAATTTAGCACAATCACGATATCACATATTCAAAGAAACAATCAGAATTGTAAGCCATTCTTCTAATAGTTCACTTTTCAATTCTTGAAGGGTGCAGGGAGGAATTTGGCACCATAAGGCATCCCACACATCTTCAGTCGGTGAGTTTGTTTGCGAATATTCTGACACCACATATACTTGATGAGGCCGAGCATTGTCATCCATTAGCGAAATATATAGGTCAATGCCACCCCTAAACAGTCTAGCTTAAAGTTCCAATACCTCATCCACATAGCTTCAAGTGCCTACAGAACCACCTTGAAAGATATGCAGCTCGATGCCACTATTTGTCATGATTCCTCCCCAGACCATTTAACCGTGCTTGCAGAAGTGGAATTATCATGGACAAGGGAAGGCAAGTTGTGTGTTCCTTAAGACACTATTTATATATATAATGAATGCATACTAATTCAGCGAGGTGCCAGTGTGCCCCATCCTCTTGACATCTGGTGCTGTTTTAGATATTGGTGGACGTAGTGCTGTACTGATTAACCAGTATTGTAGAGGCACAGTCCCCACATTCCCCTTCACTTGTTCCTTCCTCTTGGCAGATCAAAACACATCTAGAATCACTGTTCAGACTATATCCGGATTAATCATTAAACAATAATCGGGCCCAGTCATCTTGGCTCTATTAGACATAACAATGGCACTAGTTTAAACAGGCCCTTCTGGATGTTGGAGTGAAACACAAACTGTTGGTTTTCTTACATACAGTCCAGCCTCGTTAAGCCTTCTTGCAGGGCTAAATGGAGTTCCTATGGCAGCCTGAAGGTCTAAAACCAAATCTCTTGTAGTCGCTTCGTGGTTTCTTGAAGCTGACAATAACAGAAAATGATCTTCTGATGTAGACTGCCTATCAACTGATCCAGTACTTAAGAAGCAGCTCTATTCACTTGATATGACACTTTGAGGAATATTCATAATCTTGGGTGACCTTCCTTTCTGTTTAATCTCCCTCGATTCAACATTATTTGCCACATCACTTAAATGATGCCTTTGAGCCATAATTACTGAATATCAGATTACTCTTAGAAACCAGATTTACTTTAAACAACACTACAGACCAGAATTCGAACATGTGCCTATTATGCACCACATTGTCAACCACTGAATTTGCATATTTCTGGCATTAACATATGCGCTGAAGTGCAGTTTTATGTTCAGATGTATTTAATTAGTATAAATAGTTACAGCATTGGCCATTGGTTGCAACATTAACTTAATGAGCGTATTTTTTATCATTATCCTTTAATTTCGATAACCAGTATAGATGTGAATAAATGTGAAATTTAACAGTACACACAAAGTTCAAAATCTGGTTTTCCAATAACTTGAATGATTTATTATATGAACCCCCCATATTTTTTTATTGTATTGTATTTATTAATTTTTATCTTAAATAATCCTGTATATTATTTCATCTTTAAACACATGCCAGATGGCGAACTTCATTTTCTGTCATTGAATGGTTGTGAGGGGGCAGTTTTTTTTTCTCTTTTCGATACTTTTCCGTTTCGCCGGCGCAAATCTCGCCAAGCAGACTTTATTGGCGACAACATACAGTATACACATAAAAAATATTAAAAAAATGTTAGTTCTAAGAATTCTTTTTTTGAAGGCATAAACATTTTAATATCGCTTAAAATTTTATAAAAAGCCAATAAATTAAGACAATAAATTTGTGAAAAGACATTAATTTAAGAATTTACTATGCTTTCATGGTTCAACATCCTGATTCGCCGGTTCATATCACGTGACCCCAAGAGATCTCATCTCACGTAAACTACTCTACAAAAATCAAATGCTCTCAGTAATTATCTACATTAATTTCAAGTTAAATCTTAATTTGGAACACAAGTTTAAATGCAAGAAATATTCCAATTCATACAAATAGCTTACTCAGAAATTATGTAAAACTGCAGTGCTTTACTTTGCTAATGCATTCTCATTAGAATTGATGAATTTAACCCTTGACTTTACCTTTTCTATATTTTCGGGTAAGCGCTGTGATTGCATCCTAATTGACTTAATTACCGAAAATGGCCTTAGACATAAAACTGAACTATCTGATAAAAATTCTATGTAATTATATGCCAGTATTAAAAGAAACAATCAATTTGATAAGAAAAAGCTGCCACTTGTTTTGAAAATGAGGCGTAAAAGGTTACCAGCGAGAATATTCCGTTTGGCATCGGTTGTACCATTATTGGCGACTTTATCGCTTGCGCAGGCAAAACGGAAAAGTACCCTCTTTTCTCTCTAGTCCTGTATGTAAAGTGTGAACCTTGAAGACCCATGTTTGTTTCGATAAGAATGTTGCTCACACTGATTTCCTTTTGTTGCTGAAATTGTAAAAAAAGGAAGTAATACCTATCCTTAACTCTATGATTTGTTGTAGCTTATTATTTTGTTGTCTTTTTGTTATTAATTTTATCAAAATTAGTAATCAATGTAGCCTTTCTATGCTTTTCTTTAAATTGAGATATCCAAATTTTGCTTGCACTGAAATGCAGAAATAAAGCAGCCTTTTTAAAATTGATGCAGCAAGAAGATCAGTGAGAATACTTAATGCTTTAAAATAAATTTTTGTATGAAGCAGTGCAGGGTCCTGAGAGGACTTATCCGCAGATATTTTTAAAAATGTTTTGCATAATTTATGGCCAGGTGATATATTTTATGGTGACGATATTGATAGCTTTGAACTTGAAGAATTTCGAGTGCTTATGTATTAATGTATCTGGCTTGGCTCAATTTACGAATATTTTACAGAAGAAAAGGGTGTTTCGAGGGATTTTCATATTGCAGCTTATAATGAATATGGTTACCTAAAGAACCGTTATGTACATAAGTTACTTCTGAAAATGTGAAAATTTCTACTAAGATGGTTGCGTTAATACGCAAGTATGGAATTTCGAATATTCGAAGTAAAATCTGAAATTTTTCAATTAATGGAGTATGTAAAGAAGTGTTACATGAAAATTATGACTAAAGTCTTTCATTACGACAAGAATGTACTAGTCATCAATCAGTCAACAAAATGGTGAAATCTGTAGTACGGTTTTTTAAATCTAAAAAATATCACCAATAATAATCAATATAATTATGAACTATTTTCACATCTGATAGTAAATTTCAGTTCTCATTTAAATTGAGTAGTTTAATTTTATTCTCCTAAATCTTGTTTATGTACTTTGTAAAGAAGTAAAATATAATTTTAGATGTGTTTCATGGTAGAAATTAATCTGTCAAAATGTAGTTTTTGGGGAAGTGTTGAATATTTAAATACATTGCATCCAAAGAAATCTGAATTTAGTGGAATTACTGTTCAATTAATATGCAATAATTTTAATTTTATTTATTCAGTTTGCTGCAGAATTTGTCGAAAAGCACCTCTTTAAAGAACTTCTGAAAAAGCTCCAAGCTGTTGTAAAGAAGGAAGTGAAAAAAGAACCATACAACTTGACTAATGAATTTGTGGAACTTTTAACAAAAGGAATATTAGATGTTGATTTGGAATTATTAGTCAAAGTTAAAGCTTCAAGAGATGTTGCTGGTAATTATACTTATTATATGCACTTTTTGTGTGTGTAGATTGATGAAAGCTGCAGTTACTTCACTAGAATACTTTCGTTAGTTTAGCTTTCTCTGTTTTTTTTTTTTTTTTTTTTTTTTTTTTTTTTTTAAGTAAATGTTTATTTTGTTGCTATTATAATTTAATATTAGTAACTAACATATGCTGTGGGATCTATTTTTATTTGTTACAACTGCAAATGTTATTCATGGGCATAGCCAGGGGATTATAAATGACTTTAAATTCAGAAATTAATTTGGGTTGGAATATGCCTGCCAGTGGTCACGTGGAAAGACAGCTGAGCATTAATAATCTGGCCAAAGATTTTAAATCACTTCATAAGCATTTTTCTAATTTTTCACAAATATCCAAGTAAAATGAATACAAAACAGTTTCTGTTAGAAAATTCTCCACAGAGGCTTCCTTTCCCTTACACAGATAATTGTAACTGAATAATCTTGTGTTTTCCTCTAATCAAATAAACGAGTAAATAAGTAATGGACTTGAATACATGTGTAAACAGACTTTTGAAGTTTGGGAAATCGGAACAATGAGATTCCTGAATTTTTTTCGTCTGTTAACTTGTCCTACAATAATTTTAAGTTTTAATCTTGTCTACACTAAATCTCTGTAGAAATTCCTACTTACTTTAATTTTTCTTTCTTGAACCAGCTTTCGATACACACTTAATACACGATATTAATAGTCATCCAAACAATCATCAATCATTGTTGTGTACAACCAAATTTTTATTCTGTTCAAAGTACTTAATACTACTACCTGTGGATTAGATAAAGAAAGGAGCAGAACATGCTTTGTTTGAAGAGGAGAAAACCATTGTCGCTCCTTTTACAAAGTCCTTCAATGTTAGCTGTTTGATGTTTTCAGTCTTTACTTCTTTATATCCAAAAACTGTGCCAAAGTTCTGTCTTACTATCAAAATTTTCCAAAGCTTGAAAATAATGAAACACTGCACCTTTTTGCTAAACTTTTCATCTGGCATCTTTAATGTAGATCATAGATAACAGTAAAAAATGATGATGAGTTGTCACTGGAAAAATCTTTCCCTCTCTAAAGATATATATATATATATAACCAAATATATAATTATTTGAGATCTTTTCTAAAATTCTTTAATTTTAGATTTTGAAGCATTCTAAAGATATTGTGGCATTTAAAATCCTCAGTATTTGCAATTTAGTGATAGTGTTTTGAACTGGTGGATGATGGAATATCCTGACATTAAACATCTGTTGCTTTATGATGTTCTTTTGTGAGCATTGAAAATCTCTTAATGTAGTCTCTTTATAGTATTTTATTCAGATTTTTTTATAGTAAATGATTAGTAGGAAGTACGAACATCATACGTATAATGTTTATATCAGACCCATGGTTGAAGAATTCAAAGTGCAAAGAATGGGTGATGCATATATAAAAATTTTCAGTTACTATACAAATCTACATCTGTATATATCAAGAATGTAAAGAAAATTTAATAAACAATGAATAATGTTTTCCATTTTGGAGAAATTTAAGTTAATTTGAAACAGAGAAATGGAAATCAATAGGATATGATAATATAAATTTTTATAAGAATACAGTAAAGTCAGATTCAGATCAACAATTAGACTCTTGCATAAAAAGAACTAATACATTAACCCTTTGACTGCTATGCTGTGCAAAAGCGCTGCATTCATTTGTCTCGAAAACCGCGATGCAATGCTTCAGCACTGCGAGTTTCAGTGTGTCTTTGTTGCTCCGTGGGTGGGAACATACGTAATCTGACCTCACGCGTACTTTGTAACACGAGTGCATTTTAAAATAACTAACTGCGTCTCAGTTTTCAAGACAAATGAACACAGCGCTTTTGTGCCACGTAGCAATCAAACGGTTAAAGTTAGGACAGGAATAATATTGCTGTGCCTGCTATTGTTATTAGCTATATTATCATGTGAAAGCTGTACTTTGTCTGGCTTAGGTTCCTGATTTACTACTGTAGAAACATAAACAACTAGAGATGATAAGCGGATTGCTGCAAAATATTGAAACTATGAAAATAAAAATGTAAGCGCACTCAGTTTTAATTTTGCCTGATAGAAAGAAACTTGAAAAAAAAAAAAAGATTTGCATCAAAATGTGTAACGAAGCATGTAAGGGGCTAAATTTTTATATTTATTTGATCACACTAAAGCCGTAAGGACTACCTGCCATAACAGGCAGGTTCTTGTGATCCATCTATAAATGTCTTTCTAAAGGAAGCTGACTCCTATTCACATTGTACATGGGGATAACCATAAAAGCATGCATGCTTTGAGACTCCAAGGGTGTTAAATTAGTTAAAATTTTGTCTTATCTGCTCAGTCACTTGAGGACCCAAACATACAAAGAAACTGAAGACTGGTTCCAAATGAGAGAAAACTACAAATAGTAAACAAATCATATTAAAATGTCGAGTTCAATTTTTATGAATTCTTCTCCTTATTATTTTTTTTACAAAGTTATATTTTACTTGGTTTTGCTATTTGTTTGAATGAAACCAGTTTTTATTGCTCTTACAAACATACTTTCTTGAAATTTTTCACATACCTCCTATGACAGTGCATCATTCCAAAGAAATGCTCCAAAATTTGAAATAGTTTTTTTTTATCATTTAGTGTTCATTTTTTCTCTCATATTCTTGCTTTATTCTGCCTTTACATTTTTGCCAGGATATTTTTTAATCCCTTTCTGTATACTAATATACTAAGTGTAACGATCAGCTTCAGTTGTTGTTTGACAGTGTTGTGTTCCTTTCACATTTTCCTTATTTTGATTGTAAATTTAAGCACATAAAATACTTTAAACTGATATTTAATCAGTTCTATTGCTTCCATATGTTTTTGAATGCATTCCATTTGCATTTTTATACCTTATATTTTCTTTAAGGAAACTTAGAAAAAATATTCTTTGAAACATTCATCTGGCTGTTGATGATAATAATATATTTATTAAAAAAAATTATACAACTACTGTAATACACCAAAAAAGGAGGTATTACCGTGTTACATTTAATTTCATTTCTTACTTAATGTGTATTTCAAAAGGTGGTATGAGAATGGTTTAAATCCCAGGCCAGCACTAGGCAGTTCGCCACCTGGTGCAATGTTCGCAGATGAAAGTGAAAAGTCTGTATAATTCCACAAGGCCAAAAGGATAACATGTTTATGCTCTTGGGCATTAGTTGCCTTGAGCTGCTTAAGATCTTGCTTGGCATTCAAGTGTGGTATCTGAAAATGTCAGTACATCCAGCCTGGACCCATCAATTCCATATTGTCTAATGGTTATGTGATCCATCCAACATGAGCAGCAATGTCATGGAATGATAAATCACAGTTCCAATAGATATGATTCTGCCACAATCGAATTCCAACACGTGCTGGCAGGAGTTTCTGCTTTCTACATGGGGCATAACATGGTCTTCAACCAATGTATAGAAACCTGCTTTTAGAAATTAAAGCTAAAATGTACCTTATTTTCCTTTGCATAAGATGCTGTCCTAAGACCAAGGGTGCTATTGGAACCTGAAAATTAAAAATAATAATAATAATAAATAATTATTTGTTTGACGGACTGATTTTTATTAGCCTGCTAGATAACAGGAAGAAATATTATATAAAATTATTAAAATCAAAGTTTATTCAGTATGCTACTCATCATCACTGTCAGAACTCCCATTCATTAGCTGGATCTCATCTGTATTTCCCCTAAAGTATATAATAGTTTAAGGTGCAGTTTCTCTAAATGTATTGTATCAGTCCATCTTTATTGTAGACAGTCTTCTGCTAAAAGGATTGTTTTGTGGTTCCTTATCTTTAGGTTAAAGGTGACTTAGTATACACTCAGGGAAAAAGCTCTTTTGTTAGGTACTAACATCAATATCATTTGAAACCTTCTCTCTTCTTTGTTCTTTAATGGATGGGGAGGGGAAAATACTATTGTAAATCTCAAATGGAATTTCAGATGTTTCAGTTTCTTAAAGAAACAGGCGAGGCAGTGAGCATAAGACTTTACCATTTTAAGGTTCGACTTGTACGCCGCATTTGCATCATGAACAGTCTTTCAACCTTAATTTTATTCACCGTAACGCCACTGTTGCCATTTATGTGAGTGCTGACACCATTATTGTACAAGAGGCACCCAGTTTTTAGACACAGAATTTTTTTAAAAAGTGCATCTTATACACTGGGAAATGCATTTATCTTTAAAAATCTGAAAATGTTGAATGTCCATTGTCAGACTTTTGGAACATCAAAGTGTTCTAGCATACGAAAACACCAATTAATATTTAGATTAGTAATTTTCTTTTCTGAATTTTCTTCTAAATAAAGTGCTATGCCAATTAATCAGACTTGACTGCATTTCCAAATTTCAGCATTAATTATTGTAAGTCCCCATCAGTGAGTATATGCATGACAGTACAAGAAAATTTTGTATATTGTTTCCATTTACCTGAAGTGCCTTCATACTCAATTCCTAAATTAATTTTTAGCTTAATTATCTAATAACTGAATTTTGCAGTCCATGTTTATATCAAATTTGATAAGCTTCTGAAATATTACTTATTCTACCATACTAAAAATTATGTATACAGTACGAGGTCAGAAATCCAGACATCCAGTATCTGGAACTCAAAGTATCCACCCAAAAAATAAATAAATACCATATTTTCCGGTGTTTCTGGACAATTTCATATTTCTGGACAAGCGATGAAGGAAACAAGATGTGTCATAGTTAAATGCTTGAGGGAGTAAATATTCCTGCAAAGAGAGTGGATTGTATTTAATGTAGCTGTCCAAAGAATGCTACAAGGTGTGGCTATTAATATCCAGGACTGAAGTCACAGCATGAAACCGATCACTCGCCCGAGAGAGGTGCTGCTGGTATCTGGAAAGTAGTATATCAGCACATGCTCCCTACAGCATGCGTCAGTTGTAGACACGTGCTTTGCTGGGAAAGACGCGTGGAAACGTATCTGGTGAAGTGTTGTCGAAGTGCGAAAATGGTGTTGAGAAAGTGCTGAAATGGAACAAAGGGTGAACATCAAATTCTGCTTTAAACTGGGCAAAGGTGCAACAGAAATGTATGCAATGTTGAAGCAAGTGTATAGTGAGCAAGCATTATCCCATTCCCGTATATTTGAATGATATGGATGTTTTTAGGACAGCCGTGAAAATGTTGAAGATGCCGCCCACACCGGAAGGCCAATTTCCGTGCGTACGCCTGAAATAATTGAGAAAGTTTGAGAGCTTGTAGCAGCGGATCGGTGACTGACTATTCGAATGCTAGCCAGTGAATTTAACATCAACAAAGAGGTGGTTCACCAAATTCTGACGCAAGACCTAAGGAAACGCAAGGTGTGTTCCAGCTTTGTCCTGCACTATTTATCGGACGATCAGAAGCAAGTCAAAATGGACACGTGTGGTTAACTTATCAGGACTTGTGTTCCTCTTTACTTGCTTTGGAAACATTAACTGTCCTGACTCAGAACAGGGAGCTTACTAAAGCTATGTTCAATAAATTGTGAAGTAGACAATACACACTGGAAGGGTATACGAAACCCTTTATTTTTTTCTCTTTACAACGATTTCCGGACTTCGGAACACAGAGACCAACCACTTGTGGTCTGAACGTAAGAATATAAAAATATTAACTAAAACTCTAACTAAACTAACTTTGGATTAATAAACAAGTGCCTAACTCCAAGATTGGCCGTTAATTAACAAAAAGCTGTATGTAGTACAGAGAGCTGCTAAAACTACGATACGTTTAAAATTATCAAGAGAATTAAACCTCTGGCCTTGAAGGCAACCAGCAAACGAGTAAAACTACTATGGCAAGCGGCCTGCTTCTAATAACTCCTTCCTCTCTCTTGCTTGGCAAAAAGCCACAACTTAAGTACTTGGCGTTAGCAAGACAAATTTGCATAAATAAGTTAAAGGCTTTTAATTCTGGCCGGAAGTAGAAAATAAGAAGTGATAGTAAAGATTTAAAATAAAATAAACGTTAGTAAAACTTAGGATCCTTACAAACTCATCAACAATGCTAATGCTGACCCTGCTTTCCTGGATTCGATAGAGATGGGTGACAAATCGTAGTGCTATCAATGCAACCTTGAAACCAAGAGATAGAGCACAGAATGGCGGTCTCCCAGCTTCCCTAAACAGAAAAAATTTCGATTTCAATAATCAAGGTCAAAGTCATGTTAATCGCTTTCTTTGATAGTGAAGGACTTATTCATCATGAATTTGTCCCACCAGGCACTACTGTTACAAGACAGTTTTATGCAGAAGTTCTTGCCCGACTCCGACAAAGAATTCACAGAGTACGTCCCCGTTTTCAACAGAATTGGAGTTTGTTTCTGTTGCATGACAACGCCCACCCCCACATTGCTTTGCCAGTGAAGAGGTTCTGAGCATGAGGTCGTACAACTGCAGCATCTGCCATACTCTCCTGACTTGGCCCCTGCAGTATTCTTTTTCTTTTCCCAAACTTAAAACTGTTATCAAAGGAACACACTTTGTGGATGTTGAAACCATCGAGAAGAACATGACGTTGACATTGGCCTTACAAAAGAGGACTTTAAAGGTTGTTTCCACAACTTATACAGCCGAGCACAGAAGTGTATTACGACAGATGGGGATTACTTCAAAACATATTAAAAGATTACGTTTTTCACATCACATGTTCTGGTGTTATTAAAGCAGTCTTGGGAATTAATAGCCAGACCTTGTATTTTAAGATTTTTAAATGCGGCATATAATTTGGAGTAAGAATGCACTTGAATGAATTCGTGAAATTAGAAGTTAGATGTTTTCTCTTTCTGTAGTCATTAAGCCATGATTTTGAAGTGAAAATTGAAAGCTTTAATAAATCGCATTTAGTTTTAGTTAAAATACAGCTAATGTAGTGTTTCTTTTAGTAGTAAATATGGCTCCTGCGAAAAGAAACAAACAGAGCTGGTTTCAAATGCAAAACCATTCATTTTGCGAAAGAAAATGGAAATCGTGCTGCAGAAGGGTGTTTGGTGTTGGTGAAAGATGGAACTGATGATGATGATTATTTACCGGGGTTTAACAAAAGTTTCCAGCTGCATCAAATATCATCTGCAAAAACAGTTTGTGTTAGCTTGTTTAATCATATTTTATTAAACTATTTTTGGCATTTGAAAAAAAGACTTGCTTTAGAACACTGTGTTATGAAATTTGTAAAAATGAATATCATTATCATTAAGTACAAGGTGTTTGAAATGGAATTATCTCACTACCAGTTTAGAACCATCATTTACTTCCAGTTCTGTTACAAAAGGTTAGCTTCAGAATGTCACCAAATCAAGCTGTAGGTACTAATGTTGTATCATATGACACTGTGAAGGTTTGGTACAGAAAGTTCAAAAACAAGGACTATGACATTTAAGAAGCACAGCGCTCTGGCCAGCCTACTGATGTTGATGAGGCCCGCCTGTGAGAACTTGTGAAAGAAGATCAGTATGCAACCATTTGAGAGCTTGCCAAAGAGTTACGCATTAGTGCCATGTCCATTAGTCTCACAGTGCATCGCATAAACTTGACGTACAAGTTCACTTGGTAGGTGCCGTATGAGCTGACTCGACTAGGTAAGGACAGATGTATTCAGGACTGCACTAATCTGTTCGAATATCAATGCAAGGACAAACTTCTTGTGCTGAAAAGTGGATTTATTTCAACAACACGGGCTAAAAAGTAGGTTGGTCTGCACCCATTGAGCCCATCGGCAGCGTCGCAAAGTTCAATTTGACTAACAAAAAGACCGTGCTTTGCATCTGGTGGGACTGCCATGGTATTATCTACAATGAGTATCTGGAAAAAGAAAAAGCATCGAACTGAGTTCTGCTGCAAAAAGGTAATGTTCTGTGAAGATAATGCAAGACCACATGTGTCTACATTTGTTGGCTGGATTCTGTGCAGACTCGAATGGGATCTCTTGCCACACTCACCATATAGACCTGACATCTGTCCTTCGGATTTCTACCTTTTTTCACTCCTGCAGCTACATCTTGTTGGTGTGAAACTACATCTTCCATTCTGCACAGGACATCTCAAATGAGGTTGATCTGTTTTTTGACTCAAGCCACCAAGTTTCTGGGCCAAAAGCTTTGAAAAATGGTGGCAGAAAATTGTAGATTTGGGTGGTGATTACTACCCACACTAAAGGTACTGCTTTCATATTTTCCCCCCCAACTTTATTAATTTTTTTTTTTTTTTTTTCCTTACAACTAGATATTTATAGATCAGAGTAAAATTGATGGTGAAGATGAAACAGAATTCTCTGATGTGCCTGAAGATATAACGGAAGACGAAGATGAGGAATTTTTCATGTTATCTGATAAGGAAAATTTTTAAGTTCATACGTCATGTCATTTCTTTTAAATAAGCAGCATTTAGGTACATGTAAAAATCTAATTTTTTATGCTCATTCTTTATTTTTAAATCTATTATTTTTATACTTGGCATATAATACATATATTACACCTGTGCATATTATACACTGGAATATACAGTAAATGAATAAATAAAAACAACACCTTTGGAAAGCTTAGAAATGGAGAATGTATAACAACAAAAGGAAGCAGGTCTGTCATCTGTAATTAAGCCTAGAGGAGTACACAAGTAAAATTTTGTGAACTAATTGAGATTCCTGCATGTCACTTTCAAACATGTACTGGCTATTGATTTGCACTGTGGTAAATGGCAATGCATTGATTGATATTGGCAAGGGTAACATTTTCAGTCCTTGAGTGGTTATGGGAAGTGTAGGGCTTTATGAATAAACCTATGCATACTGCTGCCCAAGACAATCTTTCTGGACCCTAAATTTTGTTATCCCTAATTTTTGCTATTGGATGCCCCTTTTAATTCTAAAATTTTTGCCATTCCTAAATTCTGACATCTGATATGGCCACACCAGCTGCACATACTCACCAGCTGCAAATCCTGTGGGTGTTAGCATTTTCTACCTCACTTAAACATAAGTGAAACTCTAATGTTGCCATATCTACATGTGATCTTACTAGATTTAACCCTTTCTTTTAAAGTTGGAATTTTGATTAAAAAAAAGGTAGGCAGTCTAATTAAGCCTAGAGGAGTACACAAGTAAAATTTTGTGAAGATAGCACTTGTCTTTTAAATCTGTGGTTGTGCCCAAAGTGCGCACACTGATTGAATAGAGCTTCGAAAAGAGTGCTGGAACGAGCATTGTTGTCAATGAACTGACCCGATGAGATGTGGAGAAACAAAGAATACAGACTCTCAGTTGTCCTAGATTATCAGTGAGCCTGGTCTGGGCACACCTAGGGTTTGCCGTTTGATTTTAGGCAAAATTTCAAGGTAAAAATTTAAAACTAATATAGAATACAGAGATTAGCATACAGCCAAAAAAAATAACAGAAATTTCTTTTCAAACAATTCCTTTTATACCCTAAAAAAATCTGGAAGATTTCTTTGAAAAAATGAAGATCTTAAAAAACTAAACATGGCTAAAATATATGGACTGATTTATGTTCAGTTGCCATCTACTATAAATAAAGAAGGTTCAGAGTAACCTATAGTAACCTATAAATCCTTTTTCATTCAATTTTTCTGTGCATACAGAAGGAAATTTTTGTCCAGACTGGACACACTGTGCCGCAAAGGGTTAAATTATTGATCTAAAATCTGGAATTGGAATGGCCAAAGCTTTAGTGATACCAGATCTTGGTCTTTGTACTGCATTACCATAATAAATTTTTTAAAAAAAAAAGTTATGTAATTGAATATGTATGTAAAACACTATTAGAGGAAGAACATTTATTCATGCTTTTTTTTTTTTTTTTTTTTTTTTTAGGAACAACAGCTTTAGTAGCAGTTGTATATAAAAATAAATTAATTGTTGCTAATGTGGGAGATTCTAGAGGAGTAATCTGTGATTCCAAAGGCAATACAGTTCCTTTGTCTTTTGATCATAAACCAGATCAGGTAAGTCGCTCTTTTCATTTATGTTGAAACTATTGAGAAATAAAACTGAGAATAAAATCTGAAAAAATTATTTTTACACTTCTTATATATAGAAAAGGAATTAGGTGTAATAAAATTTTGGTAATTATAGCATAGCTACTGCATAAAAAATGATCTCTAGTTCTTGCTGGTTTAACCCTGTGTTCTTGGGACATATTTTTGAATTTAAAAAGAAAAAAAAAAAAGACTCAGTTGGTGCAAAATGTGCCTTTATTCTCTAGTAATTACATATGTGAATTTTAAATACATGTATTTTTCCAATTTTCATAATGCATTTAAAGTAAGAAAGAGAAGTGAGGAACAGCATGCTAGCAGAGCACAGAAGCTGATGAAGAATATGTAGATTGTAATAGGGATGTCATGAAGTTACGGTTCAACATTTCTACTGATTAAGGTTTTGATTTGGAAAATTTAATGTTACTATTCGATTAAAAAAATACTTTTTTTTGTCATTATGTAAATATTCACATTATGAGTGTTGTTTAAAAATTGTATCATAAGGGATTAAAAGTTAAATTTTAATCTTTCATGCATAATCTTTCCATAGCTGCATAATATTTTAAATATTATTATTCTGTTTCATTCCATGTTTATTTCATAATAATATTTAAACGAGACTATTAACAGTCTTAAAATAAAAATATTGTTGTTTAAACAAAGATGCTCATCATTATTTAAACTGTGGAAAAAATTCTAGTCTGAAAACTTAAGATCACTGTCTAACATTTCACAGAGTTTAGTGTTAAAATTTTAAGATTAGATAAAATGTAAAAATAATAAAATAAAAATGTATAATCTGGTTTTAATACGCAGATTTCAGGTTAACATCTGAAACAATTTTAAGCTAAGTTCCCTACTATAAAATAGCCAATATAGTACAGAGTTCGTAATCCGGACTCATCGGGACTTAATCGGCGATTCCGGATTATAGATCATCAATTTAAATCTGGTAAGATGGCATGCAGAAATTATACAATTTAAAATATGAAACCATAATTTATGAAATAAAGAGCAATTATGATCTAAAAGATATCAAAATTTACAGAAAACAAGCTTAATATTTTTTTGTTTACTTTATTAAACATTTCTTTCAATGTAAGTTGTTTAGGTTGCTTCGTTTTTTGTGCTAATACTTTCTCTTTAATTCTATAAACAGACATAATTTCCTGTTCAGTTACAAAGTTCCACTGTTCAAGTCCCGTAATTGTCGTGTCAAGAATACCGACTAACTTGTCAATCGAAATTTTTTCGTTTTCAATAATTTCTCTGTCACTTTCTTCACTATCGGAAGCGTGCATGTGTAAGTTTGTGGCTTTGAGATTTGGATTATAGGTCATTCCGGATGATGGATATCCGGATTACAGACTTTGTACTGTATAGACATATGCTAAAGGAAAATATAATACTGATATAGGATAAATAATATGGAAATGTGATTAAGAGGTACTTGCATATTAGCACAACCACCTTGGCACAGTTTGAAGACCTTTTACAGAAGAAAAAGAATTATTATTTTCAATTGCAAAATAATCATTTATTATGTAATACATATTTGACATTTTAATTGGGTATTTATTTCAAAAATCAACCAATAAACCTATTTACGAGCAAATTCATTTCTTTTGTTTTAATGGAAATTCCATGGCATTTGTTTTAAGAATATATTAAAGTCACATGTTTTAGCAATTTTTCTGGACAAAATACTGTATTTCTGCAGATAATAAAAGAATAAAAATATAACAAGGATATTGAGCCATTCTTGCTGTCAGATGGCCCACCATTCTACCTCCATGATTTATTAGCTGTTTTTGTTTTTAGAGTTTTGGCATCCAGAAACTATTTTGATTTGATTTTGTATTCTTTTAGGCAGTTTAGGCCCAAAATTTATTACAATCAATCATAGTCTCTTTGTTCATTTTTTCAATGTTAAAGAGAAAATACAAGATGGATTTGTTAAAAACATTATGGTAGGGAAGCCAATTAAGTAACTGTTCAAAGGAAATGCAAGATGACAGTATGATTGTAAGTAAGCAGCATAATGAAAAAGTAGGAAACAAAATTCCAGAAACTGTCAAAAAATTTTCAGTTTTAAAGAGCAAAGAGAGGAAGATAGTGAAGTACAGCTTGTACATATAACAGGAGTTACTGGGGAAAATCATTCATAAAGTGGAAATGTGAGTGCGGAGAAAACAGATGAATGAGAAGAATCAATTTAGATTCAATCATTATACAATATACAAAATATATGACACAAACTCTTAAAATTTTTAGTTTTGAAATAGATTGATTCGTGGCAGCACATTATATAATAGTCTGTAGAAATACATTATATAATAGTCTAGAAAATACAGTTTCAAAGAGGTCCACCATAGGTCTAAAAATCCCAAAGTTACTGAAACCAGCCTTGATTCTCCCATGTGGATTTTGCAAGTCATTAATTTTTAATTAATAATTTTTCCTCCTCTTTAATTTATTATGAGTGTATTTTATATATTATGTAACTGATACAGTACAAAGTCCGTAATTCAGACTTGTCGGGACTTCAGCGATTCTGGATTATTGGTTTTTTTGGATTTTAGATCAATTTAAATCTGGTAAGATGGCATGCAGAAATGATACAATTAAAAATATGAAATCGTAATTTATGAAATAACGAACAATTATGATCTAAAGGGTATAAAAATTTACAAAAAAAAGCTTAATATTTATTTGTTTACTTTATTAAACATTTCTTTCAATGTAAGTTGTTTAAGATGCTTCCACAAAAAATTCAAAAAGTTCCTTTTTCTTGTGTCATATATAGTGGACTTTCCAATGCCATACTTCTCGCATAATTTTGAGACGGATAGGCCTTTATCCATTTTTTGCAGTAATTTCACTTTTTGTTTAATGGACATCGAAACATGCTTTCGCTTTGTAGATCCTTTGCCAGCTCCAGAATTGCAAACTCTTTTTGACGTAATCGAAAGTTCAAGCTTAGTTTTTATAAAATTGTTCTAACAGTCTGCAAAATAATAAGCCGGATCCATTTAGAAGATTAAGGAACAGCGCAATCTGCAGCATTAACTGAAATGCCTTAGATAATTTTAGACTAGCTTATACCGTCCGTTATACATTAAACGTGCATACGTAAATGCATTATGCGAATGCGTAAATGCATTATGCTTTTATGCATGCACATAAAGTTTGTAGTTTTGAGGTCCGGATTATAGATTATTCTGGATTATCGATTACAGACTTTGTACTGTGTCAAGTCATGTCAGACTATGTAATATCATGTCATGCTATTTCAGATAATAACAGGTTTTATCATTATATTATTTTTTAGAAAATATTACAGTTTCTTAAAAACATTTTAAATACTTTTAATTCTGTATTAATATATTCTTATTTAATTACTTCAAATTTAAGAAATTCTTTGGTTAGTTTTACTAGCCATTCAGATTCAGAGACTGCTTTTTCCTTCTGCTGTTAAGACCTATGCTGCTGCTCTTCTCATCTGCCTTCCTTTGTTCGAATAATATGACGTAGTAAACTTAATCTTAGTAAAAAATAATGATTTGCCATTCGAATTGAATAAAGATGTTAAATCAAAACAGCTAACTTCTTCTGAGTCATCATTTCATACCAAGCTTTATTCATGTGTCCTTCTGCCAAAATATTACATATGTATGTGTGTATGTTAATAGTCTAACATTGGCAGCTGATATTTCTTTATTTTTTTAATTCAAAATTTAAAAAAATTAGTTAAGTTGTGGCTGCGAGGAACAACCTGCCGTTGTTTGACTCCATTTTTATAAGACAGTATGTTAAATAAAACATATTCAAACAACTGAACAATTATTTATTATCGCCCAGTTAAATAACAAAGAATTTTAAACTAACACAACCAAAGTAAAGTTGAAAATGACACCTTTTAATTAATTTAAAGATATGTAGCATTGGAAAAGATTATACCAACTATGCTATACAGATTGAAAGTCCAGTATTTTTCACTGGGTCATCTGGCCTTTCAGGCATTGAATGAAGTAGTCCACTGTGGCTCCTTCATTCAGGCGCTTGTTTCCCTTAGGCAGTGGCTGAAGTAGTCCATTGCTGCTTCCCTGTTCTCTGTGCAGGTCTGAAAAAACACCTTAACTTATATACTTTTAAGCTGTCTGCGTATGCATTTCTCTTCATCCAGACTTGAGTGAATCCCAATCCAGACTGTGAATCATTCAAGCAAAAGCCGATATTACCTGCCTGGGGATTGCAGTGCAAAACTTAACTACAAAATGATAACCATCACACACCTTCTGCAGAGTCCGAAAGGCGTCAACTCTGGAACTGGACCATGAGTCAAGAATACAGCCTGATCTTGTTCCAGCAGTCTTAGTGGTTGATGTTACAGTCCCAGTTGCTTGCCCATGCTCAGTCTTCTGGGTCAGTATAAATGCAGACTTCAGTTGATCAATAGATATGAATGTGTGTTTGCCTTTAATATTCACTATAAATATTTATCCGAAGGGGAAGTCATGGCATGGTCCAGAATACAGCTGTTGTAGAGGACTAACAGAATATTGTCTCATAAAGGCAGGCATGTGTGGCAGTTGAGAAATCTGGGTGAATGAATGCATCACAGAATGTATGTCTCGAATGTATGTCAGTATGGGTAGTTTCTATGGAGTTCCATAAGCAGTCTGCAGGTAAGGCAGTTTGATTCACACTTGGGCCTGGAACACATACCAAGCAACAGCAGTGGAAGGGAGTCTATCCACTGTGTAAAGTTGGTCATCATGGTGGCCTCAAGTGGGCAGTGCAGACATTTTACCATCCCATTGCAATGATTATAAACAGTGGTTTGATTCTTCTCAAAAATTTAATTAATTCAAGAAAAGGTTGACTTTCAGAATTTGCTCTTTATTATATTGTGATGAACCCTAAAGATTTACACTGACCCATCAAGAAATGCATGTGCAATA